TTATTACACATGCTGAAACTGGGGTATCTTTTTGTTCTGTGAAATAGTGTAACGATGACAATGACTAAGGGTGGAATTTGTTGAGAAATTTTGAGGCTGGCCACAAAAATCCATCTCAATGCAAGTTCAAAGACTAATATTCTCAGCATTGTCATAGAGAATTGGGGATTCTTTTTCTTCTGATCGATAAGCAAAAGTAATTTTCTTCAGTTTTCTGGATACATTTATCTACTCAGTTATTTTGTACTTCATCTGTATAAATCTTGTTTACTAATTTAAATACATTAGAGGCACAGTTTAAAAAACTAATTTGCATATGTTTCTTCACAAAAGCCAGGTAAGATTATATTTCCCTGGAGAAAGTATATAGTAAATCAATAAAATACAAGTAACTTGATTACATCAGTCAAATACACACAGTTATTTAGATGCTCAAGTACACACTCATTTAATATATTTGTGTTTTTATTATTTGAGAAAACAAAAAGAACTCAAATATTATTACCTTTATGCAAATGAGATACATTTATGTCAGCCTTTGAAATCAATATGCACTATCCTTAAAAGTAAATGACTATTTTGTAATTCTATAATTATATTTAAAAGACAGAGGGAAGGAAAGCAATGCCTCTGTTTTTCTTTCAGTAGTTTTTAATGGAGTCAATAGCTGTTATAATCTGTTATAAGGTGTTGCACCTTGCATATCACTATTGTTCCAAGATCCCTAATTTTACAGAAAACTAGAAATAGCAAGAATGGAGTGTGAATTTCTCCATTCATCTCAGTTATGCATTAAGTTAAGGGTTTAAAATTACCTTTTAAAAACTAGTACAGCTAATTATGGGACGAGCATATCTCACAGTTTTTTCCAAATTAAATCTAATTGCAGGAGGTCTGGGTAGATAAAATAAACAAAGTTGTTAAAGCATGTGGAAGATTGTTTAAGGAACCTTTTGCAGGACCTGTTGGAGAGACCATAACTGCATCCATTGAGCTTGAAGACAGACCTAGCTTTCTTCCGTTTGGGAAATGTTATGCCAGGTAATGTATAAAAAAACCTGACTATGAGATCCTGAACTTTGACAAAGTATAGCATTTACATTTGTGAGGTAGCTAAGATCTTCACTGAGACCTGTCAGGCAGTGATGCATTGAACCGTACACGTAAATGAAGCCAAACTATTCTCTGTCTCTATATGCACAAATTTCCTTTTCCTTTGTAAACCAGTGCTGTAGTCCCAGACTTAATTAAAACAGTGATTAAAGTATGTGCAGCTGCACACGCAAACATAAGCCATACCCACGCTCCTTAACAACAGAAGTGCATGCCTGTCATATTTTTGTAAATCTATTGCTTTCCCTTAGAAGCAGGCAAGCCAGTGTTTCATCTTAAAGATGGTCATGGACTGGGATGAGACATTGTGTTCTGGGTCCAAGAAGAGAGTGAGTAGGTATTTCTAAAAGTATTGAGCACACAGCTGTTTCCAAAGGAACACAGTATTGTTCTCATCCTTAAGCACACTGTTGCCAATGTCCAAAATCATGACTGGAATTTTCAATGTTATGCAGTGTTGTGCAGTGTTGTGCAATGTTGTACTTATGCTGTGAGTGTGATTGATTACTATTTACAATGCCAAGAGGGTTTTTTTAGTGTTTCTTGTATGTGTGCTAATGGTTGTCTCCAAGCTACATCATTTGCTTAGTTGAGATCCTGTCTTGGTGCAGAAATGAGACATACTGTGTCTGTCTTTCTCATTCACTGGCAGAAGTGGGAATTGTGTCAATAACTTCAGAGAGTAGGGAATTAGGACTGTAGAATGATGTAAGTTTTGTAGAATACTAAATAAATGTCCTTAACAAGACAAAATAATTCTTCTCTTGTTTCTTTCCCTACTTTTCTGCTTCCTTTGCATTTGTCCCCAGCTTTTATCCTCTTATTTTCATAATCACAAGAAGCCAAATTAAGTATAAGACTGAGTATAAGACTGCCAAAACAGCTTTGAATTTCTTTGACTGTTCTAACTCTCTATACTTTGAGCCCAGCAATGAGAACCAGAGACTAGCTAGCTCTTACCAGCTGAGGTGTTGCATGGCTCATTAATTTGGTAGATGCATCTCCCACTCAGCCACAAATGTTGGCACATTTTAGACACCTCTTCTTCTACCATGGTAAGTATCAGTTCATTCATGGGTCACTTAATTCTACTTTTTGCATTAGGTATGCTACAGGTCATGTGCTTTGCTTCCAATAAAAACCACATACTCCCTCTGAAGAAACTATGAAATCAAATCCTGAGAAATTACAGGAGGGAAGGAACCCAGAAGAAGAGGTTAAAAACCAGTGCTCCACTCAGAGGAGTAAAGCACTAAAAGGAGGGGGCACAGCTGACAAAACTGTGGCAAGAAAAGAAGGGATGTATAAAAAATTAATCTCCAGAGTATGGGAGTACAATTGAGGAATGAAAGCAGTTTCAAAGTGGCTGAAAAAAAGGGAGAGAAAAGTTATAGTAATAAAATGGTAAATCACACAGGCAGAGTAGAATATCATGATCAAAATCAATGAAAACAAATAATAAGCAGAAAAAGCAAAATACACAAAACATTCCTATCTGTAAGCTAGAACAAACAAGCAGGACAATGACTTGACATGCTTTTCAAATTTTTGAAAGAAAGAAAATGGCTACAGAAATAGTGAAGGGACCAATTTTAGAGACTGATAGTAGGAATGAAAGTCTTCTATTAAACAGTTTCTCTCTAATATTTCAAAGTTTTGCTCTTCTAAGTATAAGCCAAGCAATATAAATTTTCCTTCAAATCAGAGAAAACATTTTTTTTTATTTATGTGTCTTTGAGCTGTATATGTAGCATATGATGGCTTAATTTTTACTAATAATCTGTCTCAGTGGATTGTAATTCCTTAGTTTTTTAGTAGGCAAGTAGGTTTCAATGCAGTATCTTGACAGAAATGTGGCAACTCCATGCACCACTGCTCTAGCAGGAGTGGAATAAAGTCTGATGAGTCCCAGACTTGTACTGATGACAGAGCCTTCTATTGACAACCTCAGCATGAATTTATATTTCTGGAGCAGTGCAATCTGATTTTGCAACCTTGCTGTCACCAGTATGGTTTTGTATACATGGTAGCAACAAACTGTGGGATTGCAACATCTAGGTCACTCACCTGTCCTCATCCAAGGAGCAGGGAAATCTCTTTATGCTGGAAAGCAGCAAAAACACTGGCAAAACATGCAGCTCAGCTGCCTGTGTTTGAGTCTTTGATGATGTGTATGCCTAAATTCACATCATGGTCACTGGAGCCTCCTCAGCTCACCCTGTGCATTTATTTTCAAAAGATCTGAACAGGTCTCTGGACAAATTCTAGACCATAAGCTTGGGTGCCTAAGACCTCAGCTGACTGCAGCAGGAGTCCGAACACCTTGCTGATGCATGGCCATCCATGTGGAGGAGTCTGGCTTTGCAGGCTGACACCGGCTCTTCGAGCGCCAGCGCTCAAGCAGAGCCCGGGAGTCCCTGGCAGCAGGATGGGTGGATGGGTGGGCACACAGCAGGCCTTGGCAGCTTGGCCTCCAGCTGCACCTTCAGCCCTGCCACCACAGCCCTGCCACCACTGTCCAGCACTGGGAGGCTGCTCAGCCCCCACCAGCAGGCTGATGAGCTTGGTGGAGTTTGTTCTTTTGCTGGGATCGTGTATGAGGTCTCTTGGCTAATGTATGCAGCAGGCACCATTTCACCCAGGTCTGCAGCTGGTTTCCCTGCTGAGGGCAAACTCACTGTTCATAAACACTACACACAAAACATTCCACTGTCATTCAGCAGCCCCTCAAAATTTTTGCCAAAAAAATAAGCTAGATCATTGCAGGGGGAAAAAAAGGTTCGGTCATTTGTTCTTGTAGGGACTAATTATAAAATCCATGACTGTGTTATTTAATGTGCTGTTGACTTTGAGTCTTTTGGCAATGTTCCCTCCTGTATTTCCTGAATATGTCCCTATAAACAAATTTTCTGGAAGGGTGAGGGCTGATACAGGGAGTCTGAGACTTAGTTTAAAGGGAAGAATTACTTTTTGTGTTTATGATAGTATTTATTTGCTGTTGTATCTAGCAGGACCCTGTCATAAAAGATATTGTCAAGCTTATAAAGGAAAAACAAATATTGCAGGTCAAGTTCCTGTTTTCATATTAAGGTTTTACCAAATTAAAAAAAAAAAAAAAGAGAGAGAGAGAGAGAGAGACTGAGAGATATGTTATTGAGAAATCCTAAGTCCTGGAATTTTCCTTGTCAAGCTGATCTAATGCAGGCAGTACTGACTAAAGAGAGGATTTTTTTTTTTTTTGTGCTTGCAATTTAAATAGGATGAGGTTAATATTTTCTTCCCAAGTGTAATCTCTTTCTACAGTGATAGGGTATCATGTTTCTAATTTTATTTACAGAGAGATGGGAGGGTTGGATCACTAAAAGTGAGATTTGGGTGTGGATTTACATTCCTGCTCTTCCCTGTAAAGACTGGGACTGCTTGTGTCTGGACTCATCTTTCCAATTAATTTGAGGTAATTAAAGGGTACTGTGTAGGATGGGGCTAAAGAGAAACACAATTTAAATGTAATGCTTCCACTTTGGTATCTGCATCCTTATTTATTTTAAACCATCTTCAATGCTCTGACGAGTTTAAGTCTTCCTGTATCACATACTGTGCAAGCAGAAATATGTGAGTGAACTGTTGCCAATGGCTCTGAGCGAGCATGGGGCATGTTTCAGATTACACTGGTTTCTTGTTCTGATCTGATCTCCTTGCTAGAGAGGCTGAGAAAGGCAGCTCTAGGGGATTTACTTCCAGCAGCAGCAGCAGCAGCAGCAGCAGCAGCACATGATCCGTCAGTCGCGTGATTCTCACCACCGAGGACTAATGGGGAGGGTGAAGAAAAAGTGAATGCTGGGGAAGCAACAGCATTTTCCTCTGCTTGTGGGGTCCCTCCACCAGTCATGGCTTCTCCAAGGTTAGAAACCTACTGCTGCCCAAACCGGGATGCAGCCACACAGCTGGTGATGAACTTCCAGCCTCAAGTCTTCTGTGGAGTCTGCATTGGCAGTGCCTCCATCAGCCTGCTACTGACCATCCTGCAGCTCCTGCCAAAGAAGGGACAGAGCCCACGCAAGATGCCCAAAGCCTCGTCCTCCTCCACCATCCTTCTCCTTATCTCCATTTGTGACATCCTTGGAGGCTTAGGTAAGTGCCAGCTTGATGTCCTTGTTGTAACAGGTTCTTTTGCTCTGAGGTACCACAGACCTCAGAAGCTGGTGAGTGGACAGCAGAGATTTCTGAAGGAAGCATGCTGTTTGTGTTCACAGGAAGATTTGGACTAAGTGAGATCAGGAAATTATGGGTCTTTGGGGAGAAGGTTCTTGTTTAATAGTTATACTGTGGAAGTGAAAGCTCTTGACAAATCTAAGCTAGAATCTCTGCTTTAAAACAAATTAAAATCTAGAATGGCAGCTACTTCTCAGAGTAAGGCGTAAAAGTGGAGGTGAGGCAGCACATTGGAAAATAAATCTGGCATCAAACTTTTAGCCAATCCATAGGATGGCATTTGAAAACCATTGTCCTCTATGCCCTCAAATCCTTCTGGCCCAAGTGTGCCTCTTGCTCATGTGTCAGCTACATCTCTGGGCACATCGCATTGACAGAAAATGGGTTTGACTTGCAGCTGCACACAGATCATGCTGGACACAGGCTTTTGAAATGTGAGTAAAGCTACCTTATCAAGGACAACCAGCAGGTTGCCCAGACCCTGGTGGATAGTCTGGAGGAATAAACCAGTGGAGACCAAAACAGAATGCATGAATCAAAATGAAACTAATATGTCTTGAGCTGTCCCATCAGTCATTTGGTAATTTTTCCCATCAGTCATTTACTGTCAAATTTGGCATAAATTGTCATTACTTGTGCTATGAAAATAGAGGCCAAGTTTGTTTCTACAAACACATTAGAAATAATAATAGAAGTAGTGCTGTTTTGTCTCACTGGTGGGGGCTGTGTGTGAGTCTGTGTATCTGTGTGTCTGTGTGTCTTTGAGTTTCATTTCTCTTCCCCGTCCCATCCAGCCAGATTCTCCCGCAGTATCTAATAAGTACCAATACTAAACCAAATATTATAAAGGAAGTAAAGAAGGAGATATGGAAAATACATATGTGCATGCACCTGGAAAAGGTCCTTTCAGTCAGATGAAGCCAACAATAGACAAAGTTATTTTTCTCCCTTCCTCTTTCACTGGCAAACTCAAACTAGCTATCCATTGTTGTTTTTGTATTAGACTCACTTCGGTGGGTGGAAAACAGTTCATTCTTGGTGGGAAACCTGGTCATTTTGTTCAGTTTCCTGTTGGTGCTTTATTTCAAGCAAACCCAGAAAACTTCACTAACAAACTTTAAGTTCATTCTTAAAAAGAGCATTGCTGTTACCTAGTTCAGAAGTGCTGCTTTCGCTCAGTCCTGTGACAGAGGAAAAGGGCTGCTTATAAAATGAAGGCAGAGAAAAGTGAAAAACAACTCCTTTTCTGCAATGGGGGATTTTATAGAGAAGCAAATATTAGTGTACGAATATATGCTGGTAAACAGTTATTTAGTGCTTCATGTCAATCTCTTAAATGCTACCCAGTTTATGTTATGGAAGCATGTGACAGCATCTCTAAGTGAGATCTTAATCTATGTAATGTTTGAAGTCCCAGCAGCTTCCAACTCTTGGGGCTACTTTCCCTGAATGATCACACTGACATTTAAATAGCACAGTTGTCCCTGCTGTGCTCCTCTGCAGCCGTCGCCTTCCTGCAGACGCACAAAATCTGGGCTGCGATGTGAAATATGTGGCCAGGGAAAAGCATGTGACTCAAATCACACCAGCAGATTCAAAGCATTAATACATTTTTTTTCTTTAGGTCTGATCTTCAGGTCAAGCGTATGGCTGGGCTTCCCAGGCTTCATAGCTAACATTTCTGTGGTGAATGGGACTGACGTGTGGCCTTCCACTTTCTGTGTGGGGAGCGCGGTAGGTACCGAGATCATCCCCCCTTTCTTCTGCTCCAATTAAGAGTCTTTCCACAGGGGGAATCTGAAAGGAAAACTGCTGTATCCAAAAGGAAATGTGGCTGTGAGTCAGAGCCTGAATATGACAGTTTCAGCCTCTGCCACACCCCTGCAAGTGCATTCATGCCTCCCTCTGCGAGCCTGGGTCAGGGCAGGCAGGTACAGCTGGTGCTGTACGGTGGGGAGGGATGTAGGGCAGCTGGCTCAGACTGATCCCATGAATTCTGCCGTGTTCACTCCTCACAGGAGTGCCAGGGGAGTGGAGTACACCACATTCAGGGATGTGGAGCCAAAAGGATATAAGCAGCCCCAAAAGGGCTGTGAAGCATTGATTGGGTTTGTGCAGGCACAGCACCACGAGTGCCCCAGCGGCTCCGTTGCACTGGCAGCGCGAGGTTATCTGTCCATCTTCTCTGTCAGAAACTGCAGCCCGTGTGGTGCAGCAAGGACCTCCCGAAACCAGCAACTTGGGTAGCTCAAATTAGCTTTTGTGGCATGAGAGTGTGTGTTTTAGACACAGAGGGACAACAGGAGAAATGTACTCATAGCCACAAATCTGCTGGCAGAAGGTCTGTCCCTGCCATGTGGGATTTCAGCTCAGATTGCTGAGCTGCATCTCAATGACTGCGTCTGGCCAAGTATAATAAAGTATCTTCTGGGTTAAAATGCAATAATAAGAAAATGTAAATGCATTCCAAAAGTACACATTGAAACTCAGTTACAAATTTTATAATCAAAACACTGGGAAATAGAATTTGAGCTTACTGTAAAAGAATAAAGGTCACAATTTTTACTAAAACATTGCCAATGACAAGTAAGACAGATCATCACTTTACCCAGATGCAACAGGAATGTGGGATCTCCAATGAATTAATGCATGAGCAACAGCAGTATTAGCTTTGCAATTCAAAGTTTACAATGTAGAAGGGGATAGGTTGCATGTAAAGAAAACTATTCAGCTCCAGTAGTTTTAAAACAAAGCAATCTGTGCCAAATTGAACTCACGGTGCTTTATATGCCTATATAAAAACAGCTTCAAAGAGGATAGTTTTGTGCCATGGACACAAATATAAATTGTATGCATCTATCAAAAGTCAATTCTATTTCACGTCTTTAAGTTTTGCTTATGAGATGCAAATGCTGTTGTTTTTTTCATTGAGAAAGAACAAACAATCTCAATATCGTGCAGCAAGAATGTGCTGCTCAAAACCCATTCCTCCTCATGTTTCACTTTCTGACCCATAACACATAAAAATGTATTTTTAAACATGACAGGGTATTCTATGCAGACTGTTTGTTTTTCATTTGAATTTCAGGTTAGATGGTGAGCAGCATAGCGGTCTACCGCAATTTTTATTTTCCCTTACTTATGCTCCAGGAAAATGCTGTAATTTGAGTCATTTTAAATTTAGATTCAACTATATTGGAATGAAAAATAACCCTTCTTCCACTCATTTCCCCTAATGTATTCTCATGTGAGTTAATAAAATGTTTCCGATTCTATTTTATTTTTCTTTTAGTACTATTGTTTTATTTCTCTTAACCACAAACCTATACAAACTCCAAATAGTGAAACTTTTAGACATCTCCCTTCAATGGTTTGCAGAGGGCTACCCTTTCAGGCACTGCAGCAAGCTAAAAAGTAAGATATCATATGAAGATTTAGCATCTAAGTGTATCTGATTTATATTATTTTTGGAGGCAGTTTTGTCAGTGTTGGATTTTCTGAAAAGACACTGCAGTTTATTTTTGTATATGTATGTTTATGGGTAGTAAATTGTGCATTTTCCAACTGCAGCAAATATGTAAATGTGATGATGAAGTTACATACTGAGTGCTATAGGTAAAGTGCATTAGAAGGAAGACTGGGATTTTATTTTCTGCCTCCTGTGCGCTAGGAAATTGTCATGATGTTTGAATTAAATACTGAATAATTAATGTCACAAATTACTAGAGGTAGGGTCTACACCCATGGTGAAAGGAAATATTTCCCAGCTTGATTTGCCTTTTGGAGGAAGGAGTGCTAGATCTCTATTCACCAGCGTTTGGCTCAGTAACAAGTATGTTGATTTCCAGATGTAAAACGATGCTACTATGGAGCTGTGATAAAGGATATTCAGATAAGAACTGAAAGACAGCTTGGAGGGAAGATAGCATGAATATTAAAACACTCCCAGACTATTACAAAGAGCTAGCTCCTATGGGGAAGAAATGTGGAATTTATATACAGCAGCAAAGAAAGGTCACTTTTCCTATATAAGCTCATGGGAAAAATGCATGGGGTCAACTCAAGAATGCTGTGGAATTTGGCTTGACTTGAACCTGTTTGCTTTGGATTTTTATTGAAGAAATCACTCAGGGAGTTCAGTAGGTGTATTCTTCCAGAGTGTGAGTGATTTTCTCATTAATGAGATTTTTTTCTTGATAACCATCTTGTGCATGGAGAAAACACCCATCACATGCAGAACCCACAAATGCACAGGCACACTGTGGTTATGACTGACCTCAGTTATATTTTTACGCCTCAGCTACTGAGAAACAACTGCAATTTTAATCTAAAATTGAAACATCCTCACTATAAATTTCTTTGGGCTTCACTTACCACATGCAGGTTAGGAACAGAGAGGTAAATGACAGGTTTTCTAAATCAGAAAATAAGCTGTGAAAGCAAATGCTGTTCAATTTACTTGACCCATAGGCTACAACAATGCTGTTCCTGTGACTTTGAGTAAGATTTCGTACTTCATAATGTCATCTGTAATATATACACATTTAAAGAACAAATCAGAAGGACAAGGGTTTTAGTCCCTTCCCTGCCCCAGTGGTACTGCAGAAGCAGCTGTCATATTTGGCACTTCTTTCCCCTCTAGATGTGGATCCAGCTGCTATATAGTGCTGGCTTCTGGTGGTTGTTTTGCTATGCTGTTGATTCTTACTTGGTGGTGAGAAGATCAGCTGGACTGAGGTACCAGAGTTAAAGCTCTGAATTTGTTTTTTTCCCCCCAACATTGTCTGTCTCTGTTTGCAGCTATAAGTGAGTCGTGTACAACCATCTGATGCTCATATAGCTACCAGGTAATGATTGGGATCAGTGGTGTTCTAAGTGCTTAAATTGCCAGGGCAATGCTCACATACTGATTTATGTCCAACTTCAATTTAAATGTAACTGAATTAATTTAACCTTTGGAAAAATATGGAGCAAATTGTAGTCTATAAACTTGATGGCAATGAGATGACTATTTTTGTCCCTACCCTGTGTCTGAAATGGATTCTTGCAGCAAAAAATTAATGTTATACTGAAAATGAAAATTTGGAGGGGGAAAGTGCTGAACTTCATACAGTTAATTTCATATAGTTAATTCCATGAAAAGGAAAGAAAAGGAAAGAAAAGAAAAGGAAAGAAAAGAAAAGAAAAGAGAAAAGAATGTTTCTAAGTTGGTTGTTAGAAGAGCAAAATAACCTTCAGTTGCTGTTGATAAAAGTGGAATTACGTGACTCTGTAGAGCAGTCACATACTAAGGATATGGCTCTTCTGCAGGTGTAACCAACATGAGGCTTTTTGAGTTAACTTTACAAAATCAGGTTTATCCCCAACAGTCTAAAGTCTCATAGTTCTAGGCAAACAGCTGGCACCTTCCTCCTTCCCCCATCCCTGTTAGCAAAAAAAAAATAATGTGTATTTGGCCTTGATTATGAGATCAGAGTAAACACCAAAAGACTTTCTACAAACATGGTTCTGAATCTCCCTAAGACTGGAGCAGTATCCAGCTCTGAAAGTTAAACATCATTTTCTACAAATCACAAAAGGATGGTTTATTTGACTGTTCATCTCCATTCTTAAATTTTAATCTGTTAATTTGCCGTCTGCAGGAGAAATAAAAGATGCAGAGGTTCCTTCTCAACAATAAGGGTAGGGAAGAAGTCCTTTCCCCTCCACCCTACAGGCTGGAGGAGACAGGGCTTCCATGTGCAATCCTGAATAACTGCTTTGGCTCATTCTTTTTCTGAAGGACTGCCTCACCCACCTGCTTTCCCCTTAGTTTAATGTGTTATTATGCACAATTTCCTGTCTGTAAAGCTCTTTTTCAGTGAGGGTCCCATTTTTACCTTGCCATGTGGGAAGCGCAATGTTGGATATCTTTAATTGTGCCTGTGGTGTTTGGTGCTTGCAGTACCATTGTGCTGTACCACATGATGACGTGGGGCCTTGCAGTGATGCTCTGTGTGGAGGGGATTGCTCTGCTTTACTACCCCTCTCTGTCCAGGTAAGCAGGCTCTGGAAACAGACTGAAATCGTGGCACTCTCTGCTCATTTGAATGTCTTTTGGTCAGCTTTAGAGACAGACATTCAAAAGTTGAGAATTTTGGTCTTTGCCAAGGATGTCCCACTGATCATTTTCAGTGATTATGCTCAAAATACCAGCCTGGACTTCAGGGGACCCTGGAGAAATATCCAGGCAATCCATGCACTTGGGCATGCTGTGAAACAGCTTCTATGAGCCACCCTTCTCCCATTCCTGGTTTTAGCTTTTGTTTCAATTTGAGAAAAATCCACAGAAAGTGCATGCTTAAAATCAACTTTATGTCCCATGTGAACTGATAGTAAAGGTCCATAAGTGAAATTTTTTCATCTGTTTGCTTCATTCATTTTTATTTTTTTCTTTTTAAGCTAAAGGTGACATAGATAGACTAGCCAGAATAGTGACGGGAAAAAAAATGCATAATCTTTTAATGATTTCTTCTCAGCTGTGAAAATGGCTTGGAACATGCAATCCCACATTACATCACAACCTATGCCCCACTCCTGCTAGTGCTTGTGGCCAACCCAATCCTGTTTAGGAGGACAGTATCAGCAGGTATGTTCCTAATGGCCAGCATCAATCAGTCTGTGTTATTTAGCAAAACAGTACTGTAGAAAGCTTTGTACTCAGTGATGTGTGACAGCTCCTTGTTAAATCATAAAGATACAGCAAAGGGTGGGAAGCAGTTGCCTGTGGAAGTGAAGACACCATTTTGATGGGAATTTGCCTTAGAGAAAAGTTCTGGTGATACAGGAGCTCTTCTGCGATTAACCTCTAACTGCAGGTGGGCAGACGTTTCCATTTTACTTGATTTAAAGCTTTTGAGGCAATGTACCCTGGATGCTTAACTCTACTGGAGTTTTGGTACCAACCTCGACTTTAGAATGTAATTTATTCTAGCTGGTGAGATCTGAGAGTTGATTTAACTTCTTGGCAGCCCTAGAGCAAAAAATGTAATAAAATGTGATCAGAATTTTGTCACTTCTGAGATTATGAAACAGATGGGAATTATACACAACTCAGATGGGGTCTTGATGTTCCAGTTCAATTTATTATTCAGTGCTTAGAAGAAGTGACACTGAAAAAAAGTCTGACTCAATGCATTCTTTGCATGTAATATGATCATTGCTAGATGTTTGCAGTACCTGAATTAAGCTACACATTGATTATATAAAAAAGCTGGAGAAAATCCAGTATTCTTAGTTCAATCTTTATCCCATTCATTCTCTGTCCCTCAGCCATATTCATTTTCAAAGAAGCAGCTGTCCTTTTAAGAAATCATTCCCATAAAAAGTTGCTTTTTGTATATTTGTGTTTGCATTTTTGTATTCCTTGTGATATCTGAACAGTATGTGGCATAACTTTTTTTGCTGACAATCCATCTTCCATGTTTTAGAGATGTAGCTAATGCTGTATCAATGACACAATGAAAAACAATGTGCATAATAGGATGGAAGATTCTATTCAAACATCACATGATAATTATAAGCATATAATTATATCACACATTATATAGAAGGTACATGCTACCTTTTGTTATGAAATAGAATTATAATAGTTGATCATACTATTTAATATTTTCAGTGGGATTGAGAGAAAAACAAATAGTGGAATATCTTTCATTTTAGGAATCCAGATGTGTGTAATTATTTTTCTAAGTATTAGGCTATATGTGAGATTCCTTGAAAATGGTCCTTCCAGCTTCTGAACAGCTGCTGGAGACAAATCTATCCATTCCTTTGTTCCCTCTTTCAGGCCTCTACCTTCTGGATTTTTGTGCCTAAACTAACAAGATGTGCATATATTAATGAACACTATTGTATACTTTTCAGTTGCCTCCTTACTGAAAGGGAGACAAGGAATTTACACAGAGAACGAAAGACGCCTGGGGACAGAGATCCAGATGCGCTTCTTCAAAATTATGCTGGTATTTGTTATTTGGTAAGAGATGCATTATTTTGTTTTAAAGTGCCTTTTTCCCAGAGGGAGAGAGTCAGGGACAGGAATATAGACTGACGGGTTGCTTCATTTGTTTGTCTTTTTGCTTGGAAGGGAAGGTATCTAAGGAAGAAGCAGTTCTAAACTAGTTCACAAAGGAGCTGAATCACTCACAAGGCTGTGAGGAAATGATAAAATGTCTAACCAACAGAAAAGCAAAAGCAACAGAAACAACAGCAAAAAATTCCCAATAGGTTGGGCATCGACTGAAGCTGTCTGGTAGAGCAGCTCCCGGCTCTGTGGGCTGATGGCTTTCTGTAATCAACATTTCTCAGAGCCTCCTGGCACCCAGCACATCACTGAGGACCTACAATAAAAATGCTTCTAAGTCTGGCTTCATGGCTCTGACCATGACCATACAATGCAGCCACCTCTGTGCTCTGCAGTTTTCAAGTGTCTGAAAAACATGTAGATATTGACTGGAAAATAAGGAAATGCCAGAAAAGAAAACTCCATATGATTGTGTGCGAAATTTCTTATTATTTAATTTTTTAAAAAAAATTTGTCTTTTCCCATGAAAATAGCACTTTGGCATAGGATAGAAAAGAGATAGGGAGGAGAAGAATGGGACAACAAGAAGTGGAGTGGTGAAATGAGAAGGCCAAACTCAGCAGTCTCTACATCCCACTTAACTTCTTTACACACAGGTGTATTAATGCATGTTACATTGCTTTAACAGGCTGGGCAGGGAGAAAGGCTGCCTCTTTTATCTTCTCTTGGCTGCTGTCTACTGGAGTGCTCTGAAAGGAAATGATAGTCTTTTTTGGGGGAATAACAGTCTTCTTGGCTTGGAAGCGAAGTTTCCAATGTGAAGGGTGGGGTAGCCAGCAGAGGAGGGAGTGAGAGGCAGCAATGAGGGATCCTGCAGCATGGCTTCCTGGAAATTGCTGAAATAATAAGGAGCAGAGATTCAGCCAAGCTCCCAGGGCTGTGGAACGAAAGAGTCCAGAGGCACCACAGAAGTGCACTGCAACCTAAGGGATGGTGGCCAGCTTGATTATCTGGGAAAAAGCATGAAAGGAAAGGCCAATTTCCCATGGACATTGTGGGGACATTTGTTTATTTCCATTCTGTCTCATCCTGGACTTTCCTAATAAAAAATAAAATCACAGCTCTGGTTTAGGATTTTGCTCTAATAAAACATAAGCTCTGGAGTGTAAAACTTTTCTCAAAGGTTACTGGAGGGAAAGACTGAGGCAGTCTCATCTCAGAAGCATAGGGAAGATTTCCTTCCATCCCAGAAGTCAAATATGGAATGCTTTAGTCAAAGACAGCAGGTTGGGGCAAAATAGGATAGAAGAGATGCCTACAGATTTAGGAGGGGAGAGCAGGAGGTTTTACATTGTCATAAAGATATAATTGTGTAGAGGACAAATATAAAACCCCTTAGAAAGTATGACGTGAAAGCTGATGGCTTCTTTTCTGCATCTGCAGTGCAACTATAAAGAAATGCTCCTCTCACTGTTTAGATGTCATAGGAACTTACAGCCATTTGCTATAATCTCTATTTAGTGTAGAACATAATCAGTTTCTTTCAATGAAAGAGGCTTGATTATACTCATCCTTATTTGGAAACAGATATTACCCTTATTCAAAATAATTGTTAACACTTTAAAGGATTTAAAAGCCAACTTTTGTGTTGCTTTTTTGTGTTTTCTAATGGACATTCTGGAAGTCTTTAATCTAACCCTGAAATTCTAACTCCAGCTGGAAATCCTGCAGCCTTTTGCAACAACACATGCATATATTTGAGTTCCTTTTCTGTGAGCACAACTCTTCTAAGGCACAAGAAAAAGAAGTCAGCATGTATGATATCCCCATTATGGATCACACTTCCTTCTCATCTCAATTTTATTCTGCAATTTACTGTTCTGCAGCAAGTTAAAATTATCAGATTTTCTTTTTTCTTATATTGATTTATATTTTGTCTAGGCCTGGGAGAGTAAGTAGGTCCAGTTCTTGATTGTGATCTCGTAGACCTATGGGTTCCTTCAGATTGAGATTTAACAAGAAATCCAACCATCTTGGACTTGATCATCCTAGAGTTCTTTTCTACCCTTAATGAGTCTATAATTTAAAAAATCTTGTTGTCCTTAGAGCGATTTTAATTTCTATAATTAAGGTAAAGCATATTTTACCTGCACATCCATATGTGACTGACCTGTTCTTCTTTGCTCCTGCCATAGCTGGTCATCCAATATCATCAACGAGACCCTTTTGTTCTACCTTGAAATGCAGCCAGATATCAACGAAATGCCCCTGAAAAACATCAGAAGTGCTGCACTGATCACCTGGATTATAATGGTGGGTCAGCGGCGACATCACTTGGGCTTAGAAATCACTGTTCTGGAACAACAGTTCTGGATTGTGTGGGGTTTTTGAGGGATATAAACACTCTGAAAATCAAGGAAGAAAAACAGAAGAAAGAGAAAGGAATGAGCAGTCAGTGGGAGGGCTTTTCACATGTAAAATTTGCCAAAAATGTCCTAGAGGCCAACTACTGGAGTATGCATTCTCTGTCTCGGTGAGAGATCACTCCCATTTCAAGATCCACAACAGATAACTGGAATGACTTCTAGACTCACCTTGCTAAACTCTGTCATAATGCAAGCTGCAAAGTTTTAGCTCACAATTCCTTAAGGTTTCCCAATTAAATGGGCATTTCAAGGAAATTTTCCGTTTGTAACTAGGGTGGGAGGTTTTTTTATTATTATAAAGAATGATTGCATCTTATGTAATGAAATTTGGATCATTATTTGGGAACAAATAGGAGAAAAGTCGTTCACACAAGGCACCAAAAAATAGCTGTGAGATGCTGGTCTCTTACTGTAGCCTCTTTCTCCAATTAGAATATTTGACAAGGGATTTTTCAGAGGTGACAGTGCAGGTTCATTTTCCTAGAGAATTCATTCTGGAGTTGTTAAATAGATGGAAGGCCTGAGCATGATCTGTGCAATTAAGCATTTGAGCAGTTTGGTATTGAAGGATTAAGTGATGCAACTGATGTGATACAACCTCCTTCTCCTCCTGTGACAAGGAGTGAACACACTCATGTGACAGGGACCTTGCTCTTGCTCACCTGGAGAGCAAGAGGTCAAGTCTGGGGACTGACCTCTGCTTTAAAATGGCTATAAAAATACTTTCCTTCTTTTCCTATGAGAAAAATAGAAGCACCTAAAGCCATTAATTTGTTAAGCCTCTCACGGCACTGGAAACAGAAACAAATTTTTTGACGATCACTTGGGATTTTCTTTTTCAGTGCCTCTCCCCATTTTTCCATCCCACTTTGATGGACATTTTCACTGGCTCAAGAATCTAAAGCAATTTCAGACAGATCAATTCCTGCTATTTTTAAAGGCAGGAAAAGCTTCACTGTCTATGCTAGTGTCTCCTCTCATATATTTGACTTGGCTTGTAATGAAAAATATACATGCTTTTGTGAATAAAATAGTCCAGAGGTTGTGGGGAAAGTTAAAAACACACCAAAGGATTGACTGGCTAAACTTCATGCTAGAAAATCATTTCATGCTTACTGCTTACTGTTATGGCCTCAGCATTTTGGAAAACAGGTCATGGTACTTTTCTCTTATTTGTTTGTGTCTGCGATGGCTAAATTTTTATTTGAGTGCATGTAGCGTATTTTAAAGTCAGCAATCATTCAGTGAAAGGGAAGTTTTTAATACATACAAATCATTCTGCTAGAGCTGAGGATGAAGCCTTCCTTGGTGGTGTAACTCCTGTTGCACTTCTCTTTCCTAGGGGGTTCTTAATCCCATGCAGGGCTTTCTCTTCACATTAGCTTTCTATGGCTGGACAGGATGGAGAGTGGACCTGAAATGGCGAAAAAGAGAAATACCCTGGGAATCTATGTCCTCATCAACTGTGGGGGAAAATGCCTATCCCTCACCAGTGAACTACCAAAGCAACATCCATGATTCCAAGAAGATCTCAACAACCGACAGCCAGCAGACCGACGAGGCCATAAGCATGTTGTCTGAAGGTAACACCAGCAGTGACGAAAGACTAACCAGAAGCTCTCCCATCTACCAGGGCTGGTAGTTTCTATGTGCAGAGCTGGATCTAACTTTTCCTGGATCTAACTTTTCATATTGTCAATACTCACAAAACCACGTCAATGTGTGAATCATTGCGTACTCTGGAATTGGGTTTGTGCTCAGTGGCTTGATGTCATTTCCTGTAGCTTGTGTGAGAGAACGTGTGAGACAGAGAGATGTGGTCAATGTCTTCATTTGCCTTCTGAGAGATGTAAACAGGTATAAAGGCTTGAACCTTTTTCAGCAGGAGTATATATCTGCAATGATATTTGTTACTTATGATTAAATTTTGTTCATTTTCTTTTAATCTCTCTTGTAACCTCCTTATGGTAGAAGAGTCTTTTGTTTTAATAAATGGACTATTCATATGTCGGGTTTTTAAATGTGTTGCCTTGCCTGTCTTGCTCAGCATAAAATTGCTCACCCAGAATTACAGCCCTAGGGTTTCTGAGGCACCATCATTTCCAGTCTTTGCAGTCTGGTAAAGCATTAGTGACAGCAGAGTCTGACTTCAGCACAAATATTTCCTGTTTGTGTTGACTCTCACTGACATAATCTTCTTTTAGCTTGTGTATGTGAATTTTTGGTGTGGTTTTATCTAGGGAGCTGAAAGGCTTTATTTAAAAAAAAAAATGAGCCCAGCACAGGCTCCACAAACACTTCAGAGCAAAGATTCCAGTTCATGCCAGGTCCAAGAAAAAATAAACCCTCAAACTATTTTTTAGTATGGATTCAGTCTGGTCTTTATGTGTACTTACCTAACAGGACAGTGGCTGCTGGGGCAGGTGCACTAAGAGACAATATTTACATAAAACACTTCCACTCTATGAGTGCTCATCATAAACCAGAGCAAGTAGAATCAATAATCCCTTCTCTGAGGAGTTCTCTGTTTTATACGTTCAGGTGCTGAATGAAGAGACATTAAATCCATTTTCCTTATCTTCTCAGATACACCTCTTTTTGTGCAGTGCCCGAGGTACCTACATCCAAACAATTAACCAGATTGGTTGAAAGTTAAGAAACAATGATCATGTCTACCCTAAGCTTTTGACTTCATACCAAAAATCTGATTTGTCTGCACAGTTTGACTGATGGCATGGTGGAAGCCCCTTTAGCCCAAGTAATTGCCCTCCTCTTCTTCAGCATGGGACCAGGTCTGGGCTTTAAATCGTGCTCACATCCACTTTGGCTGAACTTTCTTGGCTGTTTCCACATTTCGTTTCCAACTCAGCTCAGTTTCAGCTATTGTAAATAAAAAAAATTTAAAAATCATAATAAAAATTAAAGGCAGCTGAAAGGTTAATGCAAAAATAACATGAGGCTTAATAACTTCTTGGGTTACTCAGGGAGGTCTCGGGAAGGTTAAAAATTCAGGATCAGCAGAAACAATACTGAAAAATGTTGATTGCCTAATTAAAATAAATGAGATTCTTGAGCTAATTGTTTGATACAAAGGTGTTAAACAATGATTGGACAACCATTTAGGCAGATCATTACAGAGCTGTGCTTGTTTTGTAGCAAGTCTTTAACATTGTGCCCTTTGGAAACCTTTGTGGCTTTATGGCTTTTTATTGCTGCTCTCCTTGTCAGAACTACTGGCAGATCCCCAGATCCTTTCTTTTAATCACAGTCATTTGTTACCTACCAAAGTATGAAGAGACAGCACATTTATGAGCTGATTATATTGAGCCTTTTGAAACAGAGACAATTTTTCAGTGCAATACTTATCACAACTGGGGTCAAAAGAGCAGGAAAAAGGTGGAGGTGGATTTGTTAGTAAACCTTTTCATATTCTGTGGCGTGGACCAAGCTGCAAAACCTTAAACCAAAATAAACACTCTCTGCCTTCACTGGAATAATTATGTGGCATGAAAGCACTTGGGAGGTGACAGGCTGTAGCAAGAGGCCCTGCGAGAGAACTGAATGACTAATCCCTCCCTCCCTTCTCTGCTCCAGGGCATTTGTGTGGGACAGGGAGAGATGGGATGCCCCAGTCCTGGCCCCCCAAAGCTGTGAGCAGCCCTGAGCAGGGCCAGGTGGCTGCTGGCACTGGAACACTCCTGTTCTGGGACAGCTTTCTGCAAGGGCCAGGCTTTGCTCCTCTCCTTTTCTTGTTCTTTCAAGGCTGTTATTGGGGTGAGTATGGTGTGTCTGTGTGTCAGTTATCTATGGGATGTCATCAGGAAAAATTAGGACTCATCTGACAGCCTAAGAAAGAAAACTGACCTAATTTTGGTGTATCTAGAAATTGGTGTGGGGCATTCCAGAGCACCCTGACAGTGGATTTTGACTTATTAAAGAAGTATGTGTGAGGAGAGCCTCCTTATCTGCTGTTCCCAGCCTCCAGTGGATGCAGAGGAGGCATTCCTTCGCAGCTTACAATTGGATGATAATTGATTCTACTCATGTGTAACCATGGCCACATTTGATTTCACCTTACACAAACCTTGTTCTTGCTTCACTATTCAACAAATCAGGCAAAGCATTGCCTTCTTCAAGGATTGCAGCAGATGCCCCTCCCTTCCCACCAGGAATATATTTTTGAGGTCCATCTCCTGACTGTCCCCACTCCATGTGCTTGCTGCATGCATGTGAGGGAGCAGCCACAGGCCACCACAGCCATCTTCATGTTTAGGGAACCGTGTCCTCCAAGGGTCAGCAAGGGCAAACTGCACACACCACATCCTGCACAGCCCAGCTCTGACACCAACACCTCCACTGCCTTCTGAAGTGTGCCACCCACTGCTGAGAGACCCTTGTGCTTACCAGCACACAGAAACACATCCTAGCTTTCATTCTGATGATGATTTGTATCTGCTTAGTTGTCATGAGGTGAGTGCAGGAAGTGCTTGTCTCTGGCCTGCACATTTGTTTTCAAACATGGCTTGGGTTAACAAGTGCCAGCTCTTGTCAGTGCTGAAGACTATTGGTGCAGTCAGCCTGTGCTCTTCATCTTCCTCTGTGGGAGGGAGTCAATTCCAGTCACCCAGCTCTTCCCTCCTTGAGCAGGAGGGCAGCTGCCCCTCTGGAACAGCAAGGTGTGACTCAGAGCAGAAGCAAACAGAAGTAAAACTGGATCAGATACTGTATAATAAAATACATGCAGCTAAACTGTTGTTTCATGAGTACAGCAGTTGTCAACTATAGCTTCTCGTATTTTGGGTGTATTAGAGCACAACAAAACCTTCCTGAATTTATCAAAAGGAAAAAATGTTAGTTAGAACAAAAAGATAGTTGAGTCCATGCACCAAAATATAATTAGTGTAGCTGAATCACATAGAGAGGATATCTATACATACAGGGTTGTATGGCCTCTATTAAACACTTTCCTGGCCTCCCAGTCAGATTATCAAATCCAACCACACACAGTAACTTCTCTCTGTATTCACCAGCACTTATTTTTAAGCACTCTGTATTTGTCCTGCCAGCCTCATACATTTAATTACTATTTTATTTGGCCAGATGTTCAGGCTAATTGCAAAGCTGAAATATGAGCACTCATAAAATAATAAACAATGTGAATAGGCAGATTTCTTGCATACCACAGTTCTGCATTTATGAGGTGCACCACATGTCTGAGTAACAAAATCCTAATTGCATCTCTCACTAAGCCCTTCTTCTCATAGACCAAATACATGGAGCTAGAAAGTGAAATGTTAAATGTGATCCCCCCATCCCCTGGGTAACCATACCTGACTTACACTTCAGTGTTTCCTTCTGTGTATCCATGATAATGAGTTATCTGATCTCCAAAAATTTCTAAAATTTTTATGGAATCTCAAGTTCACAGTAATCCCAGAGGAAGATCACTAAACCACATGGTAGTTGACATAAGACAGGTCAGATGATGTCTAGTTATTAATTTTTTAAGGAACAGACATGCACATGTGTGGACATCGAAACTGGCAGCTGAAGAAGATGCAATCTTACTGAAAGGAAATAGGGAACAGAGTCTAGTCCAGGAATGCAGGCATGAATCTTTTTCCTGGTTAATATTCCCTGTTTAATAGGATTTGCTGTGAGCTGTATGCAAGCTGGTTCTCTTACTGCACTTTTCTAAGCAAACTCTTAATCTTTCTGGGCACTAAATTCACAAGGGGTTCTGTAGGTAAAGTTTTCAAAAGGCCGAGAAAATTCGAGCATGCAGCTGTAGGGAAAACGTTCATTGATGAAAGTGCTGGGAAGAATTTTTGCTGCTCCAGCATCTCTTGGTTGCTGGGTTTCATCACATTTTGGGGCAGTAAGAAGCTTTTGAAGCTTTCAGGTTTCTCCACAGGGGACATTTGAGTCTTGCAAAGCCAGTGCCTGGAGATGAGAAGACTGGCAAGGTGGTGGCCACTATTGCCCTGGGCTCTGTCCTGTGGCACATGGCAGTGCCAAGGGCACCGTGGGTCTCTTTGTGCCCTAGTGTCACATTGGGATGAAATTCAGGCAGATTCTGCCCTCACTTCTGTGGGTAGGAAGTTGGATCTTAAGGGGTGGAGAAGAGCTGTGAGGGATTGAGATGTGCTCCTTCCTCTGGAGAGTGGGACAGTGACAAGACAGTTAATAAAGACAACCTTTGTTGATGGAGCCTTGTCCTATCCTGGTTTTTCACCAGCTTTTCCATAGCTGAGAGGGACTCAGAGGGTAAAGGGAGGCCTTGGGTCCTTGCCCTCCAGGTGGCCCCACAGAGGTACCACCCACCTGAGCATCTCTGAGCCTCCTGGAATTCCTATCCTGGTTTTTCACCAGCTTTTCCATAGCTGAGAGCCTCCTGGAAAGCCTTGAGAACGTGGAGAGCTGACCACACTGTGGGTGTTACTGAGCTTACTGAAGGAGGCACGTTTTAGAGACATGGGTGAAAAACAATGCAGTGGGGTTGGTTTTGTGCAGTGTGAGGAACCAGCTGTGTTGGGTGGGGTGTCCTTGCAGCATCCTTCCCCCTCAGAGGGCACCAAGACTCAGGACAGCATGAAAACACTGGCAGCCATTCATTGCAGCTGTAGCCACATGACAGCAGCT